TTTGCCAGTTTTGACTTTTGCCGGATTTAGTTTCGACTTTTGCCATTTGCCAAAAATAGTTTTGCCTAACAACAGTACTTGTGAGAACATTATTTGATTGTTCTCAAAAAAATCTTTAATAGTGAACAGTAAAAAATTTACTCTGTGCAGTACAGATGATCCTCATTAATATCACCCATTTGGATTGATTTTAAGGGAATTTTAATACGTATATAAAAATAGGGAACGCCTATTTCCACCATGGAAATTGGCTATTTACACCATGCTTTTCATAGCTACAGGAAATAGTAAATTTCATGGTAGAAATAGGTGATCCCAACCAGACATAATTAGTTATAATATAATTTAATTATATTCACATGTATATTATCAATTTTGTTGTCGTCATCAAAATAAATTCATGATTTAATTGTTTAATGTTTGGTTTAATAGTTTAAAGTTTATTTTAATAGTTTAAAGGCTTATTTTAATAGTTTATATTTATTTTAATAGTCATTAACCGGTTAAAAGACTGAAAACCGAAGATCGTGTAACCGGTCAAAAAGACCGGTCCTTAACCGGTCTTTTCAGGACCGAGTCAAACCCTATTCACATGATTTGGCATAATTATAAGCATTTTAAGTGTGTGCATGACGGCTATGTAATAATATATATTTAGGATTTCAAGATTAATAAATGAGTTGGTATTTAATTTTAAATAAGATAAGTAATGTGTTCATTTTGAATCGAGCAAATATTCTGATTTATTTTGATTTAAATTTTTGGTTTCGTTGTTTTTTTATTTTTTTATGAACATATTGTTCGTTTATAACAACTACACTGTTCTCATGAGTCTCATGAGAACAGTATTTGGATCTGAAATTTCCAACCCTGTACATACGTAACACAGTATTTAGTTTTTAAATTTGCATCAGAATGATGAAAACCAAAAGATAACTCTCATAAGGTTAAAATATCAAATGTATATAAAAACTCATAAGATTTCTAGAATTTTATATTTCTTTATAATTAATATATGTTAATATAATTTAAGAACCTGACTCTTAGACAATTAAACTCACTCCATTTTAAAGTCCATTGTATAAAGTTAAAAGGTCTAAGTCTAGTTACATGAACTAAAATAAATCTGATAAAAATCGTTTACTTCTCCGTAGAGGCCTGCACGGACCAGGAAATTTTAAAAACTTCACAAAATTGCGGGCCTAATATGTCATAAACACAGTAAATGCGGACTGAACTTTTAAAAAACAGAATCCATTTAGGCTTTATAATTTATTGCTATAGCGATGTATCGCTACCCCGGGTCTATGTCAAATCAAAATTCCGGAACCGAAAGTTAATTGTCGCATTATGTGATGTCGGGGTTTTAATATTCAAACTCCATTTATGATTACGTATTAATCTATATGTAATCTGTATTATCCGTCAGATTACTATGATCGGGGCTGCCAAATAATTAATAGTTATTTGGCAGGAAAAAAGTTTATTATGGTTATTCGGCAAAAATTGATAGTTTATTTTGGTTATTTGGCAAAAATTGATAGTTTATTTGGTTATTCGGCAAAAAATGATAGTTTATTTTGGTTATTCAGCAAAATTTGATACGTACGTACGTACGTAGCTTATTTCATTTTATCGAGATGTACTGTACATACGTACGTTTTTTTACGGGTATACAATGCTGTATGACGTAATTTGCTATGTACATTTAAATAAATTTTGTATAAATCGAAGTGTTAGTTTCTTATATTTTAAAATTCTCTAGGTGTATCAAAGTACTAAAAATCGTCTTTCATGTTTTAAAATTCATTAGACAGATCGATGCATTAAAAAGAGTAGTTCGTTTTGTAAATTTCTGATAGTAAGAAGTTTCAAAATTAACGTGCGAGAATCTAATTTTGACAGAATAGATAACGTATTTATTTTCAAATAGATAATTTTGGAATAATGTGTTTTAAACTCCCAATTATTTCCGAAACACGCTTTTTTTTTTAATTTTAAAGCTCTATAGTTTTAAAATTCTCTAATAATCGAAGCATATACAGTATAGTTTCACATTTTAAAATTCTTTAGATAGAGCGAAGTACTTGAAACAGTTTTTACAATTGGATAAATTGAAACAACTTAGCGATCCTTTTTGTATTTGTTTGGTAATAAAAACTCTTACACTATTTCTTACATATTGTACTGCCGTCAATAGAAATCAAGCAGATCTACATTTGATAAAAATTAATACCTTAAAGGTATCTTGATGATTTAATATTCAAAAAAAAGCTTAGATCATAAGCTTTCTTTTGAATATTAAATCATCAAGCTATCTTTAAAATTCATCAAGATATGAGCTGTGAAATTTAATTTTTTTCCAAATGTAGATCTGCTTGATTTCTATTGACGGTAGCCCATATTATCTTGTTATTTAACGTTATCATATATATATTTAATTAAAACTTATTTACTCGCTTCACATTATGCCCGATCGTCGTAATCTGACGGAAATACCGTTATTGGACTATCGTATCTGGGCCAGAATTTGATCAGGAGATGTCTGGGCACCTGCGGGGCCCAGCCATCTCCCGATCAAATTCTGGCCCAGATACCTCCAGTTATTGGATGCGAAGTATCCAATAACTATACATTACTAATTATAAGCGGAGTTTGAATATTTAAATCCGACATCACACGGCGCGACAACCAAGTTTCAGGGATAGCAATACATCGCTATGCCGATAAAACAAAAAATCCCAAATATATTTTGCGGGCCGGCAAAAACACAATTTTTTAGGCCCGTGCAGGCTCCTACTTCTCCGGACTGTAATTAAGTATCGGCATATATTAAAAAACTTAACATCTGTTAATTTATTAAAGTCATGATATTGAAGAAAACCACAGTACCTAATTGCCTATTACGAATCTAAAAATAGAACTGGCTAACATGCATAATTTTTTTTTATCTCTCCAAAATGACTGAAACCAATATATACCACCTAGGAAGACAATTAATATTAATTATTTTTGTAAGATTTGTCAGTTAACCTTTAAATATGAAAATTACATTTCTATATTTTTTAATAATTACATTAGGCGTTTTATACGACGTCGTAACTCGAAGTAATTGACTGTCTTAAAGGAAATTCGCGCGTTAATGACTTTAATATCATTACAATTACTCATTTTTTACTATTTTAATAGTCAATGCCTCAACTACAAATGTAACCAACGTAAACGTAAATCCCTCTAAAATGGGAGAATGGAAAGAAATCGGAAAGTATGCATCGTGAATTTTTAAAAGGTTTCCATGTTCATTCAATTGAATAATTTCATTTTTCACAGTACTACAGTAGCGGCCATGCATATTGTTTTAGTTCGACCCACGAAAATTCTTATAATTGATAGAGGTATTTTATTAGTCGAGTATATAAATATCAATATCGGTTCCGTTCATTTCATCGACAATCGATTTACCGACAGTACGATTCACTGACAATCAATTCACCGACAAGTTCATTTCACCGACAAAATAATTCTGGTCACTGCCATTAGGGTCGGATTAGAATTAGTGTTAAGGTTAGTGTAATTTATAAAAAAAATCATATTGTCGGTGAAATAAACTTGTCGGTGAATTGATTTTCGGTGAAATGAACCGGATCCATAAATATATGTGTGTTCAAAAGCATTTAGCAAATAACGTATTTTAAATTTTAAATTTTAAAATTTTCAAAATAGCTGAAAAGAATCCCGCGATGTATCCTGATGGACGTTATGCATACTCATCAGAATATGATTTAACTACAGGCAAGAGTCGTACTCTTAATTTAAAGACAAACACTTTTTGTTCTGCTGGGTCTTTCATCGAAAATGGTACACTAATTGAATCTGGCGGTGCTGAAAATATTGTAAGCTTTTAAAAATCATCAATAAAACGGAATAGCTTCGAAATTTTAATTTTAGAGCTTTTTTAATAAATTATCTATCCACTTTATCATAGTCTGGAGCACAAGCCGGTTTCCAATCTGTTCGATTATTCAACTCATGTGATGACGGCAGTTGTGATTGGTTGGAGTTTCCTGTATATTTGAATATTGCAAGATGGTATAACACTATGGTAACGCTTCCGGATGGTAGAGTTTTTAATATTGGAGGATCAATAAAAGCAACAGGTCTTAATGATAACTTGGCCAACAATCCTACGTATGAGTTTTTTCCAAAAGAATTTAATAACACAAAGTTCCAATTTCTTGTAGATACGTAAGTAGTCTGTCTGGTTCTTGCCAATCCTTGTCTTTTTAAAAAAAAAATTTTTTTAAAAATTTTTTTTTAATAAAGTTTTTTTTTAAATTTTATTTTTAAAATTTTATTATTTTTTGTTTTGATAAAATGGTTTAAATATAGATTGCCATACAATCTATATCCGGCAGTATTTGTGCTTCCTGGTCCACCAGATCAAACTTGGTTATACATATCAGCAAACAAGAAAGCTCTAATTTGGGATTATATTACACAAAAAATAGTTAGAACGTTGCCAGACATTCCCGGCGGTCCACGCACGTATCCAGTTACCGGCACAATATTTCTTTTGCCATTACACTATGAAAATAATTACACTGCCGAAATTGTCGCCTGTGGTGGATCCGCTGACGTAACGCCCGAATCCGAAAGTGATAATGATTGCGCAAGGCTTAATTTAGCACAACCAGATGGTGATTGGACTTTAGAACCTTTTGGAGATTTTGAAACAGGACGTTTAATGGGTGATCATATTCATATGCCTGATGGAAAGGTGCTTATTGTAAACGGTGCTGGTATGGGGTATGCAGGTTGGGGTATGTCAAATCTTTAAATAACTATAATATTTCATGCTTATTTTAATTTCATGTTCATAATTTCTTATGAAAAATTATTTCTTTAATAGATGAGGGCAATATTACCGACAGACAACATGCAGCAAGTTTGCCTCAAAAAGTACCATTACTTTATGATCCCAAAGCACCTCTTGGATCTCGTTTCACTAGAATGGCAGAAGCGAAATATGTCCGTGTTTACCATTCAACCGCAACTTTGATCCCAGATGGTACAGTTTTTGTCGCTGGCAGTAATCCAAATGCATTGGTTTGTGATATTTGTGAATACCCTACGGAGTAAGTTAAGCAATAGTAATAAGTGAATTTCACACTTAATAGACGTAATTGACTTTTATATTTTTTTTTTTAGATATCGCATAGAAATTTTTACGCCACCATATCTTTTAAATGGCATACCCCGACCTATCATTAGGAATATCGCGGGTACGACAGCTTTCAACTCCTTAATACCTATCCAAACGACATATGGAGAAATAATTACTATATTCATTAATTTGGATGATCCCATTGCAAACATTACCGCTGCTTTAATTCATCATGGTTTCGTTACACATTCGCAACACATGTCTGCACGATATGTAAGCTTAAAAATTCAAAATCAAATACCAATTCCATCAGGATATGCTGTTGACGTCTCTTTACCGCCAAATCCTAATATCATGCCACCGGGACGGCATACTTATATTTATATCTTGAATAAGGGAACGCCAGCAAACACTGCTATTGAAATTAATCTCAAAAGATCTTAATACGGATTTGAAATCATATCGGTACTAGATCTATATATATGCTATAGAATATACCGGAACGTAGTGATGAAATTACGAAGTGTGTGGTTAACTGCTAACTAGAATGTCAAGTGTGCAATCCGGTAATATGATTGGGTGATGATTGAATCTATAAAATATAATGAAATTTGTATGTACGCGATGTATATATCTATATATATATGAATGAAACCCCTCATTGACTAACAAATATGATTCATATTCAAGAATCATCCGAAATACTTCCCTTTGGATTTTATCATTTTCCTCACGATATTCTTCGGTTACAAGTCAAGTTAGATAGATTTTTTGATTTGTACCTGGATACTATATGTGATAATAGTTTCGGCAATAAGGATAAAGCAGCAGAAAACTAATTATCCGATAGCTTACTATGATCGTACCATCAAATAACTCGAGTTTTCTGTTGGTTCAGTCGTCGTAAGCCATTGGATAATACCGTTATTGGATGCTACGCAGCCAATAACTTGTTTATCTGGCAGCGAATTTAATATTGTCGTTTCTGGGTCCCTTTGGGGCCCAGAAGCTGAAATATTAAATTTCACAGCATAATGAATTATTTTACAAATAATTCCGTTATTGGATGCGAAGCATCCAATAACTATACATTATCCGGCAGGTACTATGTATACACTGACGGAAAAAATTCCATATTATTGCCGCAATTTATTATTAAAAACATGTGACACGTAATAATTTTATTTTTTTAAAATGCTCAATTAAATTCGTTTTAAAATTGTTATGCCCGGAAATTACACAAAAGTTTACATATTGCAAATTCTATCAAAAATAATAGTGAGAATGATAGTAATTTTCTTCTTGTTATCAAATTCGGATGATTCATGAAGTTATGAAAGGTGGGTATATAATATGGGGTCTGTTCCTTGAAAATCAAGTTTTGATCATATGATTTACTATGTCCGTAAGGTCATTTTCAAGGAATAGACCCCATATGGTGCCGCTTGATTAGTAATAGATTTTAAAGGTAGTTGTTGGGCTGATGACCTTGGAATACGGGATTTAAATGTTGGTATCTTGCTAAAATTAGATCTCGTTGAAGTTGGGTAGATGTTGAATTACTCGAATCTACGAATATTAGTGTAATTAAAATATATTACGAGTAATAAATTAGTAATTAGAATAACATATATCAAAATTCTCATAATATTGTTCTAGCCCATTATTAAGTGTAAATATTCCTGCTATCGTCATTAAGTTTGAATTAAAAAAAAATCAAATTAACGAATACTATATTAGATACGGATAGGGACACACAAAGTTGATTTTTCACGGATTTCAAAATTCTTGGTCGATTGGTCGGATTTTTTTTTTTTAATCTACAGTAGATTAATAGATTCATGTTCACGTCTAAGGCCGCAAAAGTTGATTTTTCACTTTGTACACATGGAATCAAAAATTGGGTTGGAAATCAAATCTTTTTCTATTAGTTCTATCAAATAATTTCGGGAAAATAAGACCTCTATCGATTAACGGAGTAATTTATGAAAAAACTAAATGGCAAAAATAGAATAATTGACGCAATTGGGGTAAAAAACGAAAAATAGAAAAGAAAATAGACCGGCGGGTAATGCAAAACGAAAAACGAAAAATCAACTTGGGGACTAATAAATACCATTATAAATTTCAGGATAATCTTCGTAACGCTTTCTGGATTTGTAAGAGTCCCATATTTTGCACTGCTTAATAGCTGGATATTCTTTCAAATATCGTATGAGAGAAGCATGGAAATTTTAACTTTATATTCCTTCTTGTCTATTCTTTTAACCATATGAAAAATTTGCAAGGAAAGTCTTCGAACTCATAATTGAGTATGTCTCTATATCTGTCAGCTGCTCGTAACCATTTTGCCGTACATTTATCCGTATTTTGTACTCGCGAGAGTTTAAAGGGCTCTAAATAGTCTTCGTTGGTTGGTAGTTTATTATGTGACATTGAAGTATTAAAGAAAGAGTTGGATCAAAACACAATCGATCCTTTATCATTATATACCCATCATTCGAATTATCAATGTCATTATTAATCAAAGCGAGTTTATTTGGGCAATAATATGGTTCCATCAGTGTATACGTCATACCTGCCGGATAAACTAGTTATCTGGCATGATGTATCGGAGTCATGGGTATTCGGCAGGATGATAGCAACGCACGTCACGTGCTTTTGCTATCATCCTGCCGAATACCCATGTATCCGTCACATCATGCCAGATAACAAGAAATTATCGTTGATTAAGTATAAATTTAAAAGCTTTTCATCCTTTTTTTTTTTTTTTTTTTTTTTTTTTTTTTGTTTACTTTATCGATTCATTAATATCGTTAGTATTATGGCGTGCCAATCTAAAAGGGACCCGATTTGTAATGAGCTCAGTTCATATCCTTTTAAAAGGGTATATTGGCCACGGCTTCCATCACAATAACTCGTAAATAAATGCCAAGAAAAAAAAAAAAAGCAACCTGCTATGCGGCTAACATATAAAAAAAAAAGGAGATATTAGTTCCCTTTTTATATTATATTAAACTTTATTATACTAGGAATATGCGAGCATTATAGATCCGGAGCACATTATATGATGATTATCATATTACACAAACGCGTTAGCATGCATGTTTTTGTTACATTAAAATACAAATTTAGACACGCGGCGTGACCGACAAAAAGTTTCCAAATCATATTTTGACATGATCTTCATATTGTTTATAAAGATGCATCAAAAAGGTAACCCTTTTGGCCAAATGCATCAAAAATTTAAGGATCCTCTCCGCTACGCTCCGGATCAATAAATAATATACTGTATGTCAAAAAGTCACATGAAATAATGTAGATTGTCCATCGCAATACCCTTCAAAACTACATAGAGAAAATAAAAATAAATTTACAACTCTAAATTTTCTTCTAACATTCTAAATAATGATAATGTGTTCTATATTACGTATGTAATACAAAATTATTAACAAATAAGGTAACTGCGCGACGTAGTCGCGCTCAAACGTAGGATGTAGGTCTTTGAATTTCTGTTAATTTTTTTTTTAATTCCATTAAATTACGAGTTAATTAGTTGTTTTATTTAATTATTTTATTTCTATTTATTCTAATTTATATATGTTTTTTATTTATTTAATTTTCTTTATTTTATTTTATTTTATTTTGTTCTATTTTTAGTTTTTTTTTTTTTTTTTTTTTTTTTTTGAAAAGAAAAATTTGGCAGATCACTGTTTGATTAAATTTCTTTGCCCATTGCCTTCTTTTAAAACGCCCTGCTTTGCGCGTCGTAGTGAACTACCGTAAA